GGGGCGTGTGAAGCAGAGGAGTGAGGTGGGATTTGGGGTGAGGCCTGTTTATAGAGCTCTGGAGCTGCAGAGAACAGGCGTGGTACTTCTGAGGGATCTGCTGGGTCGCCTGGAGCAGCTCAAGGTGACCAGCAAGCATACCCAGAGAGAGCTCCCTGGAGAACGAGCCTGGCAGAAATCCTTTGGTGCTGTGAAGCATCAGCTTGATTTCAGCTCGCTGCTGACCAGAAGTGCTGTCGCTCCGAGTCTGGTTTGGACAGGGCAGGAGTTCCAGGTGTGCGACTGCCTGTAGGGATCAGCTGAAAGAGCTGCTCCAGTCCTAGGTCCTCATCCTTACAGATGCTGTCGGCTCGCAGCCCCTGCTGTGAGAGCGCTGTGAGATGAACAGAGGCTTGCAAAGCTGACAAGACCCTGAGCAATCTGACCGAGATGTGAAGTCAGCCTGCTCTGAGCAGGGGGTGGGTTAGAGACCTCCCAAGGTCTTTTTTCACCTCCATTTTCCTGTTCTTCTGGCAGACACTTTAGCTGGAGGTGCTGCAGTGCTTCTGTTGGGTTTGCCTGCTCTGGGCTGAAGGTGACAAGCACTAGACCATACGTGGAGGGAGGAGACTAGCAGCTGCATGCTCCCTCTTGCTGCCTTTGGTCTTCCTCCCTCCTTCCCCGCCCCGAAGAAATGTTTGCTCTGGTGAGAAGGATGTGCGCTTCCAAGAGGCTGCCTTCAGGTCTGTGTCACCTTGACAGCACCCGGAGACACTTGCTGGACTGCAGGCTGCCCCCGGGGAGGCCCCGCAGCGGGCTCTGACGAGGGTCTTGGTTAGAGAGAGCTGAGCGCTTCCCTTCCCCGAGCTCTGGGGTCCCCAGGGGTACGGCTCCCGCCCCGGGCCGGTAGTGCAGCTGATGTTTATTGCTAAACGCCTTTGGTAAAAGCCAGTGAGAGGGGCTCCCTTGTGCTCGTGTGGAGGCCTGAGCCAGAACGGCCGTGTTCAGAGCTGATCCTCTCTCCTGTGTTGGTGTGCATACAGTTCCAGTTTTACGTGTGGGCTGGCGGGGGCCATTGCCTCCAACCCTGTGGACGTGGTGCGGACACGGATGATGAACCAGCGGGCAATAGTGGGCAGCACGGAGCTCTATAAGGGCACGCTGGATGGCCTCGTGAAGGTAAGGGGGCGAGAGGGACGCGCGAATCCCTGTCCTTAGGAGGCTGGCTGGGTTCCGCCACCACAGCTCTGTTAGGTTCTACAGCGACAGAACGTGCTTGTCAGTGTTTCGGACAAAACAGAGAAGGATCTAGAGTCGCCTTCCTGAGGTCGCCATCAGCGTGAGCATCCTCCCAGCCTTGCGGGACAAAACTTTGTCAGTGATGTGGTTTGATTAGGGTTATATACTGTAAGTGACACCTCACACAACTGCGTCTCCACTGGCCTGTCTGCTTACCACAGCCGCTGTAAAGGTCCCTTATGTCGCACGTGGCGTTAGGGCGATGGGCAGAGCATGGACCTGTGCGTTTCATAATTGACCCGTCTCTTCTCTCTTCTCAGACCTGGAAGAGCGAGGGCTTCTTTGCGCTCTATAAAGGCTTCTGGCCCAACTGGCTTCGGCTCGGTCCCTGGAACATCATTGTATCCTTCGCTGTGCTGCTGGGAGGTCGTGGGTACGGACAGGCGGGGGAAAACCAAGCTGTGGAGGGAAGTGCGGAGCAGACACCTGGATGTGGCCCCTCTGTCCTCCCTGCGGCAGCCCAAAGCGGGCTCCTTGGGCAGGCATAAGCTGTGACGTGGCTGCTGCTGGTTCAAGTGCCAAAAAATGGCTGTGACCACTGCTTCGAACAGCTCTGTAGAGGCCAGTGCAGGGACCGCAGCGCAGCAGCACGGCTGTTTCTTGTACAGCGAGTGCTCTCCAGCGCTCGGCTTGAGGCTTTCCCTTTGGCCTGAGCTCCTGCAGGTGCTGCGTTTTCTGGATCGGCTCCTGTTCTGTGAGGGAAGCCTGGGGAACGTTCTGCTGCTCTGAGGTGGGTTCTGCTCTGCAGAACCAGCGCTGCTGTGCTGCTGCGCTAGATCCTTCTTGCCCTCCAAAACTGCGCGCATAATTTATTTTAAAGAGGTCCCAGTCTGGGGCTAGAGCCACCTCCCTTTCTCAGTGCTCTGGGCAAGCCTGGGCCAGTTTGCTTCTGGGTCGGTCTCTTCCCTCTCTTGGTGGCTCCCGTCCACAGCTCTTCTACCTGCGCAGGTCAGTTCGTGCTCCCTGGAAGAGCAGCTTCTCCGCGTTGGCCTCCGGCTGCGCTGCTGGTGCTTTGCCCGCCTTGCCGTGCCAGGCACAGCCTGGGCGCATCGGCAACCCCCGTGCAGCTGCCTCACGTATTCGGCCCGATTCCTTGACGTTCCCTTCAGTTTTTTATCACGTACGAGCAGTTGAAGCGACTTCCATTCTGACAGCTGGCTTCATTCCACAAGAGTCATCTTCAAGACGTGCAGCAGAGCGCTCTGCTGCAGCCTTCCTCTTCATTTCTCCATCCCCGTGTTTTGATGTTCCGGTACCTGTGGGTCTGGGCTCTCCCGCTCCCCCAAATGCATGGTCCCTGGAGCGTGAGCTGGCCGAAGCGTAACCGGGAGGCTGATGGCAGGTGCTGCATGTTTTTTTCCACACGGAGGCAAGTATTCACAGCGTGCAAGTGTCTGGGCCTGAAGCAATATCTTCTGTGAAGATCGGCGTGATCCCTGGCCTTTTGGGGCAGCTCGTTGTTTGGCTCGTGTGCGTTCGTCTGCCGTGCCGGCGGGGGCGGGGGGCACCGGGGAGGGGTGCTGTCGTGATTCCTTGCAGAACTGTAACCTCATTAAATTATTTATTGACCGGATGGCTTGAGTTTGTGTTTGTGCAGATTTACTACAGGTATATTCCAGAGCAGGTGCTGTGTCTGCCCTTGGAGAGAACAGAAGCTGTTATTTCAGCACTCTATCTATCTATCTATCTTTTTTTCCCCAAATATATATATAAAAGCAATCTTTAGGATTTATTAAAATAGAAATGTTTCTAAAAACAAAGTTTAATTGTTAGTGTCAGAAAATTGTAGTGTTGCACTTAGTTTTCCAAAACCTCAGTCTCTTAACCTTACTGCTTACGTTATTTTTGCTTACATCCTTTTTAGAGCAAGGTAATGTGATTTAAATGTGATTTAAAGCTGAACTCGGATGTCCCACTACTTTAAAATGATGGCTCTAACATTGCTAGTGCTAAGCAGAACATCGAGCAAGGTATTTTGGTCATCCTTTCCTGGTGTTTGTGGGGTTTTTTTGTTTGTATTTTAAACGTGTGGCTGTGAAAGCAAACAGCTCTTCCGTTCCTACTCCCTTTCCTCTTTATGGGGTGGCTTTAGTTTGGATGAAGGTCTCCTGAGGCACGCAGCAGCGGTTCCCGTCTGGGAGTGCTGCAAGCTGAGATTCTTGCTGTGCAAATTGCACGAGGGACGTTCGGCCACATCCTGCCCGGCCAAACGGGAGAGATGGGTTGCCGTGGTTTTGCAGAGGCGTAGCTGCCTTGTACCAGCCGCCTGCATGAGGAAGGTGACTCCAGTCAGCTCTGGGACTTAAACCGTGCCTTGGACAAAGGGGTGAGCGCCGGGCCACCGCTCTGCAGGCTGGGAGCATCGTTTTCAGGGTTAACCATACGCACAGGCCCCCAGAAATGGGGAGCAGTGCACTGACAGTGGACGAGGTTCGTATGCTTCCTCTGGCTTTACTCTTCAAGAGGATTTCTGAATATTACAAATAAATAAATACTTACATGGTGGACGAACACGAGTCTGAGAGATGTATTTTAACGGCAGTTCGTTACGTTCTTTCGGTTTTCTTCAGTGTTTCTGTAACTTTGCTTCTGAAGCTGTTTCTTTTGTGCAGCTCCGTGGGACGCTGCTGCTGCTGTTGATTTTTGGACTGATCCTCTGAGAGTTCTTTGTATTTGCAGTTGCTACCCCGCTCTTCAGGCTACGGGAGCTCCTCAGCAGTGCCGGAGGAGTCCCCGCGGCTGCTCGGCTGTTTGCATCTCTCAGCTCCGAGGAGCTGGCGAGGGGCTGCTCTTTCCCCTCTCCTTCCTCCCGCTGGACCAGCTGCCCCGGACGGCTCTGGAGACGTTCCTTCCGCTCGCCTGAGTGGTCCCCGGCCCCGGAGACGTCCCTTATCGGAGCTTCGATTGCACTGGCTGTCGTAAACGCTGCCCCATGTTGCTCTCTCGGCTCTTTGCATCTCTCAGCTCCGAGGAGCTGGCGAGGGGCTGCTCTTTCCCCTCTCCTTCCTCCCGCTGGACCAGCTGCCCCGGACGGCTCTGGAGACGTTCCTTCCGCTCGCCTGAGTGGTCCCCGGCCCCGGAGACGTCCCTTATCGGAGCTTCGATTGCACTGGCTGTCGTAAACGCTGCCCCATGTTGCTCTGCCCCGCTTTGTCCATAGTAGCTGCAGGTACGCCTTCGGCGGTGCCGATCGCTGCGGGTGTGACGGCGCGGGGACGGCCGGTGGTCAGCTCGCCTCGGCGCTGTGCCAGCTGCTCCCCAAAGGTGGTCACAAAGCCCTTCGTCCCCAGAGCACCTTGCCTCTGCAGGGAGGAAAAGCTGGGTCACTTGGGGTTTCTCGGGTGGCAGAAGATTAGTCTTTTGCTGGGTGATTTAAAAACGAAGATCCCAGCCCGTAAGCGGCGTTGTAACCGCGTGTGCGAGCATGTGGCGCTGCCGAGAGCTGGTGTTTCCTGAGGAGGTGCGTTGCCCCGGGATCCGCACGGGAAGCTCTCCCTAAGGATCCGCTTTGTCTTGTGAGCGCGAGCGCACGTGTTTCTCTTTCCAGCCTCTGCTGTGCCGTGCCAAGTAACGTGGGAGCGCGGCTGAGCAGTCCGTGTACCCAGCGGATCCAAGCGCTGATCCTGCTGCCGACCCCGG